TGTGAATCCCATTCTAATGATGCTGCTGCAATGCTTTTACACGTCGAGCGCAGCTACGCGCGGCCCTTTGATCCTGAGCTGCATACCTTCAGTTAATATCTACAACCATTCCACTGTTTCAGAGGCTGTCCTGATGTCCTCTTACTTTGCCTGAATGACCGTCTTTTTTTTTCGCGGATACCGCTCACTAAACGATTAACCACCAATTGTTAGTAAAAGGTGAGTAACATGTCCCTCTCCATCAGATTTTATTTTTTCATGCAAAAGTATTTCGGAAAATGAAAAATAGCGAATTCTGTTGTGTCACTGTTGAATATTCTTGGCACATTATTATGCCTTCGATGAAAACTTTATATTCTACATGTATGCATTATTTCTTTTTCTGTTTGTGGCTTTTTTCATCATAGAGAAACGGAATAGAAACATTATTGCTCTCACTGCAGCTTTAGAAATTCTTTTTCAAATTCATTTTTGCTGGTTAGGGGCGTATGTTATTATCCTTCCAGGATCTAGTTTATAAATTGGCCGCATTCCTTACCGATCAAGTTTAGAAGCGTTTATGTTTGCCGCATTTTTTATCCGGAGATGCACTTCTGTTTTGACACCTAACAGTATATTATTACACGCCAGTGCTTAACACACTATTGAAGCGGACAAAGGTTTAAAGATAATAATAATAATAATAACAATAATAATAATAATAACAATAATAATAACAATAATAATAACAATAATAATAATGTTGACAACAGTGGCAATGATAATAAAAACATATTGGTATTGATGGTGATATGATAATGTAGTGCTATTACGATGCTTGTGTGCATGTATGCGCTGGAAATTATTATTTGCCTGCTGGGCATGATTCATTGCATTTTCAACCAATCCGATTCATCATAAGCATTTGAGAGAGAGTGGATAACTTACAGTGTTCGTTATATGCCTCACCCTCGACCGGCACTGTTGATTTATGCGTGTTCCATTGGCAATCAGATGAAATCGGCTAACTTGTACTACTGTTTTGCAAAAGTTGTATTTGCTAAACTACACGTCCCACATAAATCGACGCATAAAAGTATTGGTTTACATAAATATTTGCAAAAATGCTCTTTCATTTCAGTGGACGATATTTTTGCTCAATATTTATTATACCAGATGTTTCGTCAACACCAATAACAACAACAACAACAACAGTAACAGTGACGGGCAGCAGTGCAACGGTGGCCACAGCAGAACTGTCATTAAGAAGTTTGTTTTGTTGGCCAACGAGCGCGAGACAGCACTAGCGGAATCTGATGAGCAGCCTGGAGGGGTGCTGTATCGAGGGAGTAGCAGCATGTCCACCAGCGTATCATCCGTGTCGTCCCGGCGCAAACAGGCCAAGCCGCAACGCCTTTCGCACGAAATCGAGCCTCACTCCAGCTCCTCACTCATCACCAACGGCAAGTTTTCACTTACAGCTACTCCCTGCACCAATTCTTCTTGACCGTGAACAGGTGAAGCGCTTACCGCTCGTAGTTTTGGGCAGTACCACTCGAACATAGCACCTCTCAGTGACCCTTCGTTTTCTAAGGTTCTCATGCCCTGCCATTTGTTGAACTAGCTGGACCAGAAAAAATCCGCACAGGTAGAGTTCATATCTTGCAATAATGAAATACCATACTGGACTCTAATTGCAGTGGTACTTAAACATTGAGCTTTTAAAGACCGCGCTAGAGATTCGTCGGCCACCGTATCCACTGGCCAGTTAATTAGACCACTCAGGTTCGACCAGAATTCAAAAGAATTCTGTTCTAAATTGGGAAATTTAACTCAATTTTCACCTAAAGTTCCCAGCGTATGCTTTAAATCTAACCAGTCTCACTCAACCGTAAAGCTAATGAAAAATTGGTAGAAAATCCAAAACCCATTTATTTTACAATTGAACACAAATTTTACCACAAATAAACTGAAGGCTTTTCTCGCATCTGTAGAGTGGAAAACAAACATACATGCATGCATGCATG